AATTGTTTTTCTATTCTCTATTTCATTTAATTCTGCTCTAATTCTTATGATTTCCTTTCTTCTGGCACCTGAGCGCTTCTTTTGCAGTTCTCTACTTGTTCTAGTTGTAGGGTTAATGTTTTCATTATGGCCCTTTCTTCTTTTTCGATGTGTGCATTTATTGCTACAAACTGACCTCTGAGCACTGCTTTTGCTGTGTCCCAAAGGTTCTGGTAGGATATGTTTTCATTCTCGTTTGATTGTATGAATTTCTTTATTCCATCCTTAATTTATTCTACAACCCTGTAGTTTTGGACCAAGGTTTTGTTCAGTTTCCACGTGTTCGATTTTTTTTCGCTTTTTCTCTTCTTGATTTCTACTTTTATGGCTTTATAGTCAGAAAAAATGCTTTGTAATATTTCGATGCTTTGGATTTTGTTAAGGCTTCCTTTATGGCCTACTATGTGGTCTATTTTGGAGAATGTTCCATGTGTGTTGGAAAAGAAAGTGTACTTGGCTGCTGTTGGGTGGACTGTTCGGTATATGTCCGTGAGATCAAGTTGGTTGATAGCGTTTATCTTTTGCGTGTCTTTGTTGAGCTTCTTTCTCGATGTTCTGTCCTTCACTGAAAGTGGTGTGTTGAAGTCTCCTACTACTATCGTGGAGCTATCTCTTTTCAGTACTGTTAAGAGTTTGTTTTATGTATTTTGGAGCCGTGTCATTGGGTGTGTAAATATTTATTATAGTTATGTCCTCCTGGTGTATTGACCCTCTAATCATTATATAGTGTCCTTCCTTATCCTTTGTGATGGATTTTAAAGTCTATGTTGTCAGAGATTAATATTGCCACTCCTGCTCTTTTTAGAGTGTTGTTTGCTTGATATATTTTTTTCCCATCCTTTGAGTTTTAGTTCATTTAGTTTTAAGTTTAAGGTGTGTCTCTTATAGGCAGCATACAGACGGATCGTGTTTTTTTATCCAATCTGCCACTCTCTGTCTCTTGATTGGTGCATTTAGTCCATTTACATTCAGCATAATTATTGATAGGTATGAGTTTAGTGCTGTCATTTTGATCTTTTTGTGCCTGTTGTTGACAGTTTCTTTGTTCCACTTGATTTTCTGTGCTGAGTTGTTTTTCTTTAAGTATTTTCATCGTTGTTGATTTTGTGTTTGCTGAGTCTTTATATTTTTCCAGTTTTTTGACTTGTAGGATTGTTAGTTTCCTTTGTGGTTAACTTAATATTTACCCCTATTTTTCTAAGTTTATACCAGTCTTTTATTTCTTTATATCATCTTGACTTCCTCTCAACATGAAAAATCTGTCTACATTTTTTAAGTCCCTCTTTTTTAATATTGCCATCTTTCACATATTGACATCTTTTTCCCTATTTTCAGTGTTTTAGCTTTGATTTCCTTTTGTGACTTCCCTATCTGGGTTGATATATGGTTGCTCTGTCCTGTGTTCTAGTCCTGGGTTGTTATCTAATGTTACTGATTTTCTAATCGGAAGACTCCCTTTAGTATTTCCTGTAATTTTGGTTTGGTTTTTGCAAATTCCCTGAACTTCTGTTTCTCTGGAAATGCCCTAATTTCACCATCATATCTGAGAGACAGTTTTGCTGGATATATAATTCTTGGCTGGCAGTTGTTTTCCTTCAAGGCTTTATATATACCATCCCATTGCCTTCTTGCCTGCATGGTTTCTGTGGAGTAGTCTGAGCTTATTCTGACTCTCCTTTGTAGATGACTTTTCCTTTATCCCTAGCTACTCTTAAAATTCTCTCTTTATCTTTGGTTTTGTCTTGGTGACTTTCTTTTGGGATCTACCTCATGTGGGGTTTGATGAGCATCTTGGATAGATATCCTGTCATCTTTCACGATATCAGGGAAGTTTTCTGCCAACAAATCTTCAACAATTCTCTCTGTATTTTCTGTTATTGCCCCCACCCCCGTTTTGGTACTCCCATCACTCATAGGTTATTCCTCTTGATAGAGTCCCACATAATTCTTAGTTTCTTCTTTTTTTTAATCCTTTTATCTGATTTTTTTCCTCAAGTAAGTTGGTGTCAAGTGCTTTGTCTTCAGTCTCACTAATTCTGTCTTCATTGCCTCAATTCTGCTCCTATGACTTTCTATTGAGTTGTCTAATTCTAAAATTCTGTTAATCTTCTGGATTTCTAATTGCTGTCTCTCTATGGATTCTTGTAGCCTGTTAAATTTGTCATTATGCTCTTCTCTAATCTTTTTAATTTCCTCTATTGCGTTTTCTGCATTTTGCTTAATTTCCTTCCTATTTTCTTGAAGAGTTCTGTATGTTTATCTTTTGTATTCTGCCTCCGGTAATTCCAAGAAATTTTCCTCCTCTGGAAAATTTCTAGATTCTTTATTTTGGGAGCTTGCTGAAGCCATCATGGATTGCCTCTTTATGTGATTTGATATTAACTGTTGTCTCCGAGCCATCAATAAGTTATTATATTTATTTATTTTATGTTTGCTTACTGTGTCCTAGCTTCGTTTGTTTTGATATGCCCAAATGGACTGCTTCTATGAGCGAGCTTGATTATTGGCACCTTTGAAGCTCTAATGTCCTGTCACCAGGTGGTTAGATCTGTTACTATGTATGTGAGCTCAGGAGTCTGCCCACTCCTCCTGTATGGATTCAGCTCAGGTGCCCAGGTAGATAGCCACCAAGTGTGTGGTACAGGCTCTCACTTACAGTCCTGGACAGGCATGGGTGATTGGTGTAGGCACAGGCATCTGGCTGCAGCAGGGGTACACACTCTGAGCAAGGCAGGGGGCTGACGACTGCCCCTGAGTGTCCAGGAAGAAGGCGTGTCCTTGTTCCCTAGAGCATGTAGGGGGGTGGGTTTTACAGCTGGACTATGAGCACCTAATGCTGTTGGCTGTACGGACTGGGAGGCACCTCTCATTCATGGGCCCCTATCGCAGGTGGCTAGGTAGCATGGGTGGAGCCACCAGTCCTCAGGCCCCTGGTGGGTAGGTAAAGACCCTGCTTAATGGGCAAAGCAGTGTCAAATGTAAAGAACCTGCCACTTCACAGCTGAAACAGCTGAAGTTAGAGTTCTGGTATATACCCTGTTATACTGTGGTAATGAGGGCCTGTGCTGTTCAGATGGGCCCACACAAGTCTCTTAAAGGCACTCAAAGTCTGTGGATCCCTTATGCCTGTGCCCAGGCAAAGGAGCTGTGTGCCCACCCTGGGTTCCTGGCTTAGGGGAGCCAGCAATTTATTTTTTCCCGTTTGTTAATTTGTTCACTCTCCAAGGCAGGGAGAATGGCTCCAGGCGTGTGACAGATCCTACTTCCAGCCCAGGGGACTCGGCAGTTGCTGAAGCTGGTCCAGGACCCAGTGCAGAGCAGGGAGTGGGGAAGTAAATGGGACAGAGGTTTTTCCCTAAGGGGGGTGTTTCTGATCTGCACACAGTAAGCCATATGCAAGTACTTATCTTTCATGGAGGGCTGCTTCTCACTGGTTCTGGGTGGCCATGTAGAGTCTCTGGTGCTGGGTCTTCCCCGGTGTGGAAAACGCACCTCCTGAGCTCAGATGCTTGCCTGCCTTGCTGCTCACCCACGAGCTGATCAGGTCTGAAGGGCTCAGGCTCTCGCTGGGTCAGGTCTGGCAACTCCTCACTGCTTCCAAACCATCTCTCCCTCCCCCTGCCACTCAGTCCGGGTCCTCAACTCTGCCTTTGATGTTCAGGGCTCCCAGACTGCCATATATAATCGAATCATTTGTTTTTTTGGGTTTTTGTTGTAAGAGGGTCCACTGGAAGCACCTGACTACTCCACCATCTTGGCTCTGCCTCTCTATTAATTCTAAATACAAAATATTTCCTAGATCTGTTTCTATTTTTCTATTCTCACTACTCCAGATTATTTGTTGTTTATTGAAGGTGCTGTAAAGTTATATCCCTCCATGCCTTTGTTTATGCTGCTACATTTATTATATATATAAATGCTATATATATGTAGCATTTCTCCTTTTATCCATTTATCAATATTCAATTTATTGAAATCAAGTACAAATGCCATTCCTTTGTTAACCTTTCCAGGCAAAATTAAAACCTCCCTCTCTTGTGCATATATCCTTCTGTAAACTGAAAACAGCACCAATAACACTGTGTTAAAGTAATACACATAGTTTTACAGTTATATATGCTGAGGGCTGGGGTACTATCTTGTTCATTCTTTTCTTAGTAGAACTCAGAAACTAGTAGTGTCCAACATATAGCATGTGTTCAATAAACATTAATTTGTAAGAATAATAATTAAGCTTTCATTTGAATCCTAATGGTGTGTTTGAAATGATGTTTAGGCAAAAAAAAATTAAGATAAATAATGAAAATCTCATCACTCTCTCCTTACCTTAAATTTTAAGGCAGGTGTTTGTATCATAGATAATGCCTTCAATCCATGCAGTCGTTCTTCTATTTCCCTCAGCCTAGGAAGAGGTATGAGATTATATATACACACATACTTACAATTTCATAAATATTGGAAGTTCACTAGTTCACTAAAGTATAAAGAAAATGATGACTCATTATTCCATCTCTCAGATAAATAATCCCTACTGATAGTATTTAATAAATGGACCTGCTGTAGCATATAAAGTCTATAAAACTTTATAAAACAATTATTAAAAGTACCCCTACTCCTCAGAATACCTGCTCATATCCTTTTTGGGGGATCCTTTAGTAAAATGTGATGCAAATACAAGTGTATATACATCTATATATCTTTTTAAAAATGACACCAAATGGTTAATACCAAACACACTATTCTACGTCTTACTTCAGTCTTTATAACAGCTGTGTAACTGCCCATCATGTGGATGAACCATAATTCATTAACTCTCCCTGCTGATGCCTGTTGATGACGCTTGGGTTGTTTCAAGTTTTCTCCCATTACAATTTTTCATATTTACATTAAATAAACAATGGAACTAAGTTATAACAAATGTACAGTTCATTTCCTAAGCCTCTTAAAAATTTTTCTTACTGGATTTTATACATCTAAAATGCTGCTGAGGCTTGCCAAACATGAAAACATGACATTTTCTTTCAAAAATTATCAATTATCTTGACACTACAAATTTTACTTATCTAGCCTATAGAGCTTAACAAGATTCTAAATGAAATCCTTAGACAACGTCTATAAGACTAAAATAAAACACAGGCTACCTGAAAATAAAAAAAAATTTAGTAAATTTAACTGGCTTTTTAAATATAATGCCAAAACTATCAAAATATGTGATTTCTCATTGTTTTATTAGAATTGATCAGATGAATGTGTGTCATTGATAAGAAAAAGAAGACAGGGCATGTAACTATAGATGAAGACAGGAATGTAGCAAAGAATTAAGAGTATCAGCAAGTCCCCAAAGGACCCAATAATTATAAAATCTACCAAATGTTTTTGTCAAGAATAATAAAAAGGGTTTTAAAATGATTTTCAGAATAATACGAAAGGCGTAGATTCACCTCTAAACATCATCAGTAAAACTACAAAAGGAGGATGACAAAATATTTTATGCTTTAGGAAAAACCACATGTAATTAGCATGAAAATAACAAATACTTTCTGGATTAATTGGACATGTTATCTATTGTATCCTGAACAATATATATTTTTTCTTTATCATGAAAATCTTAAATTTCCTCTTTAGAAGTCCATGAGGACATTTTTCATTCTTTTAAGAGCACACGATAACTTACCGTCGTTTTGTTACATAGAGTTCATCAAGAAGATGTCGTTTTTCATAGCTCATCCACTGTTCATCAGGCAACTCTTCTTCCTTCTGCAGCAACTGTTCGTAGAGTCGAACCGGATTCCAGCCAGTCATTATGTCATAAGTGATTACACAACCCAAGGAATGTGACACTATTGAGACTTTACCCCCTTTTTCTTCAAAGTCTGGATTCCGAGAACAGAAAAGGGAATATAATCGATTCAGCTCTTGCTGAAGGCCTTTAACTAGCTGTTTGAAATAAGAAAACATTATCATATTAGAATTAACACTGACTGCTACAAACTATTTCTAAACTCAAATACATTAAGAAAGAAAAACATATATTACTGGCCAAATATACCTAGGTTATTAACATTAACTCAGGTGCCTTAATACCTAACAGGAATGAAGTAAGGCATACATAATATTAAGGATCCCTGGTGGCGCAGTGATTAAGCTCTCGGCTGCTAATCAAAAGGTCAGCAGTTTGAACCCACAAGCCACTCCATGGGAGAAAGATGTGGCAATCAGCTTCCGTAAAGATTACAGCCTTGGGAACCCTATAGGGCAGTTCTACTCTGTCTTATAGGGTTGCCATGAGTCAGAATTGGCTTGACAGCAATGGGTTTATACATAATATTATAATTCAAATCATCACTAAAAGAATATAGGCAGATACTACCTATATAGATTCTTGCATAGCTCTTAAACCAACTATATGAGCCACTAGTACCACAGATTAATACTGATTATTTTGATAAGATGTCCAAAGTGTTCTTGGAAATTTCTTCTTCATTGCAACTTACCTATATATAATTTAAGTATTTTTTTATCTTTTAGTTTTTAAACTACAGTAAATTTTAGAAAAAGAATGAGTTTAATGATAACAATCGTACTAACACACACACACAAATCTCTACATACCTCTGTATCAATATATGGCATTAAGATAGAACAATGTAATGAAAGGTCATTGTATAATTGAAGAAAAACCTAATGTTGACCTACTTGATAGTCCAAAATCTCATTAAGTCAGCAATATGGCATGAGAAAAAAGTTGTTTTCTACAGCTGGAAAGAAGTTTTTTTTTTAAGTTTAGGTTTTAATAATATGGGAAGTATCTTAGTCATTTTTCTTCATAAAATTGGTTTCTTTGAAATTTAGCTTTAAGATTTTGCTGAAATATTCCATTAAAGGCATAAGAATGAAGTTCATTCCTCAAACCCATACTGAGCCCTGTCCTGAGTTTTAAGACAGTTCTTTCCTTTTACTATTATTACCATGTATTTATAAATTTCATGCTTGATATTCAACTTTTTCATTTTAGTAGTTAATATGCCAGCTGCTGCTTTGATGTACAAATATTAGTTAACTATTGCTTCAATTTTATTATGTCTAAAGAGACAACTAGACTCCATCAGCTTTTACTGAGCATTTTTTACCTGCTGATATAAACTGAAAATCATTTGAGCTCCTCATAGTTGGCAGAGTTAGCAGTAACATGAAAAAAAGGCATAGTGCTCCCTATGTTGACATCTCAGAGCTCTGTAATGCTATACTGAGGTCTAAAGCTACTGAAACCATGTATCATGGCTAGTGGAATGTACTTAGCCAATGAAGGAAGAGAAGGATAAGACAAGGTAGTAGCATGTAGAAGGATAAGCTGCTTTTCTTCCAGGGAGGGCTTCCGAAGTTTTACATTTATTGAACATCTTTATTTTCTTCCCAGGAAAAGCAAAAGAATCCCATGCCTTAAGTGCGATGGTTCTCTAACATTTAGCATGCATGAGAATCACTTGGACGACTTGCTAACTGCAAATTGCTAGGCCTCATCCTGTCCCTGGGTGGTGCAAATTAATGTGCTCAGGTTCAAGTCCACCCAGAGGCAACTCAGAAGAAAGGCCTGGCGAGCTACTTCTGAAAAATCAGTCACTGAAAACCCTAGGGAGCACAGTGCTACTCTGATACACATGCGGTCGCCATGAGTTGGAAATGACTCGATGGCAAGTGGTAAAAAAGGCCCTATCCCAGAGTTTCTGATTCAGTAGGTCTCACTGGGGATGGGTCTGAGAATTTCTAATAAGTTCCTAGAAGATGCTGATGCTACTGGTCTGGGGACTACACTTTAGCAACTGCTTTAGTGGCAAATGCACATAAAATCTTTCGAAGACATGGGTTTGTAGGTAAAATTCTAGTCAACACAGTTTAAGGAGTGTGCAGTATGGAATGAAATTACATGGCTCTGTTGAAAGGGGAGCTATAATGTAATGCTTTGGACTTGGTTTTGATAAGATTATCAACTAATCCTTAAAATTCAGCAACTTTCCTGATATACAATCTATCTTAAGGGAGGTAAAGACAAAGCTAATGCTTAGGGGTAAAGTAAATTCATTTTAAAAACTCTTTTTAACAGTTTTTACTTTTGAAGGCCTCCTTGATTTTAAGACTCATACCCTGTAAATCTAGAACCACAAAAAGGTATATACTTAAGTACTGTGGCAAAAGATACTCAATTTTTTTTTTTTTAAACAACTCTCCAAAATAAAAATTATAATTTTTTTTAAAAACTAAGAAAATACATAGTTCTATCAGTGATTAACCTACTTCCTATTAAAAAATTTAAAAGGGTCACTCACTATACCGAATTCTTCATTAGTTTGGTAAGCATACATAGATACCAAAACAGAAGTTAATCCCTAAGACAAAGAAAACCTATTTGATGCTAAAATATTTAGTAGACAGTTTCTGAAGAGCTGACGATTTCATCTGTTTTGATGATTATATACTTGAATAGAACTGGCCTTTTTATTTCCTTATAAGATTTTGATATGGTCGAATTTTCTATCTTTGCCTGTAGCTTATATGTACAGGAACATTTGTGGTCAAAACATTACGATTTTAAAAGCAAATCTTTAAAATGGCTTTGCACTACCTCTCAGTGCTTCCATAAGTCACCCACTCAGCAAGGAGAAATTCACCTATGCGGTAACAAAAACATCTACTCTAACTGAAGCTTTTTTCCCCTTGGCATTTATGATCCAATTATATTCTCCTAGTTAGGTTCCCTTTGTGACCAAGTATATTCATTTGGGACATATGAGTCAAAAATAATGATACGCCCTGTGATCTTAGTATTATTAGCTCTATAAAATTATCTAATCAAGTCAGCTAACCTCTTTCACGATAGCATCTGATGGCTTTTCAAAACAATTTCTAATTCTTGTAACTACTGCTCAAGAGTTAAAATTTATGAAGAAAATCAACCCAAGGCAAAAACACAGCATTTTAAAGAGTGAATCCAAACACACAAAATATAGTTGAGGACTATAATTAATTCTTTTTCCATCTCCCTGCTTCCAGAAATTTTAATGAGAAAAAGTAATTTAGGGAGTTTTAGTCACATATACCAATTAAGTAGTTTTCAAATGACAAGATGAGACCATGACAATTCTCTCTATAATTCTTCATTTTTAGAAGTCATTGAAAAGACAGTTCAGATATACACAAAACGCACAATTCTCTTTGAATTTCTTATGTTACTTTACTTAAGGTGAAGTAAGGGCCAAACAGAAGAGGCCTGGTGGAGCAGTAGTTAAAGTGCTCGACTGCTAACCAAAAGGTCAGTGGTTCAAAACCACCATGTGGCAGTCTGCTTCCGTAAAGATTCGCAGCCTTGGAAACTCTACAGGTCAGTTCTTCTCTGTCTTATAAGGTCTCTATGAGTCAGAATCAACTTGATGGCAGTGGGTTCGGTAAGGGGCAAACCACCATTTCTCAGTTTGTCATACTGTGGTGGCTTGCATGTTGCTGTGATGCCAGAAGCTATGCCACCAGTATTTCAAATACCAGCAGGGTCACCCATGGTGGACAAGCTTCAACGGAGCTTCCAAACTAAGACAGACTGGGAAGAAGGACCTCGTAATCTACTTCTGAAAAAACTGGCCAGTGAAAACCTTATGAGTAGCAGTGAAACACTGTCATCGTTAACATGCAGAAAGAGGAGCCCTCAGGTTGGAAGGCACTCAAGGTGCGACCAGGGAAGAGCTGCCTCCTCAAAGTAGAGTCGACCTTAATGATGTGGATGGAGTAAAGCTTCCGAGACCTTCATTTGCTGATGTGACATGACTCAAAATGAGAAGAAACAACTACAAATATCCATTAATAACTGGAACGTGGAATGCACAAAGTCTGAATTGAGGAAAACTGCAAGTTGTCAAAAATGAAATGAAGATCGATATTCTAGGCATTAGTGAGCTGAAATGGAGTGGTATTGGCTATTTTGAATTGGACAATCATATGGTCTACTACGCCAGGAACAACAAATTGAAGAGGACTGGTGTTGCATTCATCGTCAAAAAGAACATTTCAATATCAGACCAGAACTGAAACAATTTCCAAGGCCAATTCTTCAGACAGGGATTGGACTGGACTGTGGGACATAAAGTGATACTTGTGAGGAATGTGCCTCTTAGCTCAAGTAGATACAAGAGACCAAAGGGGCAGCTTCTGTCCAGAGGTGAGACGGGAAGGCAGAGAGGGTTACGAGCTGGTTGAATGGACATGGGGAATCAGGGGCAGAAAGGAGGAGTGGGCTGTCACAGAATGGGGTGAGCAATTAGGGTCTTATAACAATGTATGTATAAAATTTTGACTAACTTGAAATGTAAACTTCATTTAAACTACAACAATAAAAAAAAAGTAATTAAAAAAAAAAAAAGAACATTTCAAGCTCTATTCTGAAGTAAAACACCATCAGTGATAGGATAATATCTATGTACCGACAAGGAAGACCAGTTAATACTACTATTATTCAAATGTATGCACCAACCGCTAAGGCCAAAGATGAAGACACTGAAGATTTTTAACAATTTCTGCAGTCTGAAATTGATTAAACATGCAATCAAGATGCAATGATAATTACTGGTGATTGGAATGCAAAAGTTGGAAACAAAGAAGAAGGATCAGTAGTTGGAAAATATGGCCGTGGTGACAGAAATGATGCCAGAGATAGCATGACAGACTTTTGCAAGACCAATGACTTCTTCACTGCAAATACCTTTTTTCAACAACATAAAAGGTGACTATACATGTGAACCTCACTGGATGGAACACACAGGAATCAAATCGACTGTAAATATTTGTGGAAAAAGAGAATGGAGAAGCCCAATATCATCAGTCGGAACAAGGCCAGGGGCCGACTGCAGAACAGATCATCAATTGCTAATATGCAAGTTCAAGCTGAAGCTAAA